AGAACTGAATACAACAGAACTTGCTGACTGAAACAATCAATACCGTAAAATTATTTAACTTTAGCCATGATTCAGTTAAACGTGTGTATTCGCGACTGCAAAGCACAAGAGAACTGAAATAATGTTTCATGTTTGGGAACTGTAAAGTGCCAGCAATAGAACTAGACTGCTTGTCTACGCCTGCAACTGAAAATCCAACAGTTCTAATAGAATTTATGTTGTCACGTGAGAAATGAGCCCAAACAGGCAGTTAATATAAACATGGATTAGATATGTTCTTTTGTAACCACTGTAGTGTAGCTACAAGACGCTCTTCTGATGATCTGAATGTCGTCAGTTCGGGTCATGACTGAGCTGAACATTTGTCACATATGACATTGGCTCCTAGGTTGACACAGCCTTAAGTAGGTACTAGTTATAGTCATCGGAAGTAAAGGCGGCCCGTGTGATGCTGGCCACATCACCCACCAAGTTCCAACTGGTCTTTAAAGTGTAGGTCTAGCCCTATATGCCCAATACGCCTAAAGACACGGAAACGGGTCCTTTACTTTTTATTTACACATGTTCTTTAACTTGACTGGGAAGATAAAATCGTTATCAACCTAGTGTCTCAGTAATGTAGATCCAATACTGTAGTCCAATATCACAGATAGGTATCTATACTGTGTTTGGTCACGGCAAGTTATTTGCTTCTGTTAGCCGTTACACCGCTCCACCCCTTTTCCCATATTTGGACTAAAAATATATAGTTGCATTGCTCACCTACTTATCTGAGTAAGTGACGCGACGTTATAGCTGCAGAGTTTATTTGGAATGCTTTTATACTGAGCCGAGTATGGTTTTTTGTTGTTGTTGTGAACTGCAGATTCAGAAAACGGAGTGTGGTCTGTGCCGCAGAACTAGTGTTGTAATTGATTGCGCGTGCAACTACTGATTTCTTTAAACTACTGCTCGCAGTGACGATGAACTGAAGTTCTAGAGCCAGACTGCGTGTGTTGGAACTTCTGCTGGCTGAATTATGCATTTAATGTGTGTGTACGCTTTTGACTGCTTTTGCCGAGACCGCACCTGAAGTCAGTTTCTGTGGTAGTTAAGTTGTTTTCTTCCACAAGGGACATACATGGGAATTCTGTGCGGTTTTTACTGACAGAGGAACGGCGTGACTGCCGGGTGACTCGTTAACTCTCAGATGGAAAGTGTGATTATCGGATTACATGTTCTTGCAGTCTGGCCATAGTTGGAGATTCACAGTTTTCGCCTTGTTTGGCCAACGGCTTACTTTTCGGAGAGCGTTGATTTTATTTGATTTGATTCAAGAACCGACATCACAGCACTCGGTGCATTCCCATAAGCGCTCCGTCCCAATCTTCAGCAGCCAGCGAAGAGTTCCGTTATTAATGGTGCCAGTAGAATTCTGATTACACGTTCGTCTTGCCTTTCCAGAACCTCTCGTCTCCCCCCCCCCCCTCCTCCTCCTCCCTGCACCAATCTCACCAGACTGTAGTGTTCCATCTGCTCCTCTGAAGTGTGCACGCTTTCCCACAAGGCACTAACCACGTCGGCCTTATCATGTATCAGTATTCTACCAAGACGTGCAGAGCCATCCAGTCTGTCCACCTGTTCATTTCCCAACACACCGGTGTCCCCGGTGAAAAAATCAAGAATACTCCTTACCCGTGTCCTCCGCAGCGAAGCATACCACTCTGCACGAAGCATGCCTGTCCTGATCTTCCTCATCATGCTTTCTGAGTCAGTTACAATCACGATGTGTGTGTGTGTGTGTGTGTGTGTGTGTGTGTGTGTGTGTGTGTGTGTGTGTGTGTGTGTGTGTATGTGTCGTGTTCTCTAACCAGCGGAAAGCTGCAGTGTCCTCCTCCACCTCCATTCTTAAGCTGCATGTTGTGGTATCATATGCTAGGCTCTCCTGCATCAAATGTCGACCATTAACTTTTGCTAAGAAACCCCAAGCACTTCTTTTGCCTCTTGACACTGAATTGTCTGTGTAAATGATCAAATCCTCTGAGCGAGCATTATCTTGAAGTTTTTGCTGAATTCTTATCTCCGTGGCACCTGCTGACCAGTCTCCGCATTCCCAGCTCAGATAGATTATGACTCTACACAAGTCTGACTGTTCAGGTAGCACTTTGGCCAACTCCTCTCCTCGCCTAATGTTCTCAAGGATGCAAACCTGTCCGATTGTGTATTCTTCCTGAGCCATCCATGACTTCCCTCTTATCAGCCGCTGACCCTTAACTGCACCCACAGCTTCGTGCAAAGGGTGGTCTGTGTCGGCAACTACCCTGAGATATGATCATATAGCGTTCAGTTAATATACCTGCTCCATTGCTCTTCTGCCCTCAACAGTAGCCGTACCTGCCAGCCCATCAGTCTTGTGAGTTCCCTAAACCACTTCACACATTGGAACTAAAATTAAACTGATCCTTGTCAGCTGTTACCGCCCCAGAGACCCCAACCCTGTTTTCCGGTTCAGCACATCTCTGTCTTCCTAATCATGTTCAATGAGACGCTGAGAAAGAATACTTGAGTAAATGTCTGTGTCTCGAGCCAGGTTATCGCTTGTTCCTGCCATAACCTCCATAGCCTGACTACTTGTAAGTAAAAAAAGTAAAGTTCCCTTTTCACGCCTTTCGGCGCATCGGGCATATATGGCCAGAGCGTCCCATATTTTTACAGACCATCAGCACTCTGTGGGTAATGTGGTCAGCAATTACGCCGGCTGTCTTTACTTTCCCAGGACAGCCAATTCTGGTACCCATTTTAGGCTGGGTCGACCTGCGACGTCCCATACCACGATAAAAATCCACGCAGCCTGCAGTGGGTTTCGATCGCGGTATGCTGGCTTACGAGTCGGACTCGCAACGCCTTAGCCACGGACGCCGCACAAGACTACTTGTATTAAATGCAAAATCACCGAGAATCATCCTTTCCAATTCTCCCTCGAATCTGCGCCGTAGAAATCAATTAGCTTCTCGTGTGTCGGCGACTGACGCATCTATGTTAATGGCTACATCCCCTTCAACAGAATTTGGATGAGTTGGGCTTTAAGGCCAAACAGTAAACCCCAATATAAAGTGCCAACGGCTTTTTTAGCGAATGCGGAAGAGAACTGAAACTGAAATAGGAAATGTGCTCCGTCTGCCCCAACCCAGTTCTTTAGCGGCATCTCTTATTTTGTAGAGACCTCGAACTATAGTAAATTTTAAATAGATGAAATCCTTATCTGGCGGGGATGCTCTAGTTTCAGCTGCTCCAAAGAATCAAGTTGAAAAAATTTGACAGTCACAGAGCATTGGATAGATCTATAACAATGTTGGAACAGCTCATGAAAAGACAGAAAAATCGATACCGACGTTTATTACATATTAGAAAGGTGACGGAGAAGATTATTCTGTTCTCCCAACCCTTTTGCTCGTGTAACTGAAGGAAAAGAAAAGAAGAAGACGAAGACGAATAAAGAAAGAAAGAAAGAACAAAAGGAAGGAAGGAAGGAAGAAAGAAAGAAAGGAAGGAAGAAAAAAAAAAAGAAATGAAGAGCAAAAGCAGTAGAAGGAGACGAATACGAATGTGGATAATAAAGAGGAAGAGAAGAATGAGAGGGACGACAATAAGGAAAATAAAAGAGGAAGAAAGGAAAGGAAGAAATGCAGTTTTCAAAACATGAGAGAAATATAAAGAAGGAAAGACAGGTGATGAGGAGAAGAAGATGGGGAAAAGAAAATGGGAAGATTGTAATACATTGATTAGTAGATCGTGGGAACTAAGAGACCCAACAGCGTTACAAATTACAAGAACCGGCCTGGAAAGTATCCTTTTTCTGTGTGCCTTCAAGTGTAAAGTGAAAATATTCACGTGTGCACTCAACTCACTGGAACATTCTCCAAACGTGTAATGTTACCTTTTATCTGCTGTGTACACCTTCATTAAAATATCCACCCTGACGTTGGTCGGCGACTCCATTATCTCTCCACCCAGACTTTGCTTTGAAAATGATATCCCGGATCTCCTTGTCAAAACAATACCAAACAGAGCGTGGAACTTCAGCGAGCAGACTGCATTAAATATGGACCGGGATCAGTTTGTTTTTGATTTCATCTGCTTGGAATATTGATTAATTTACCTGTAAGAAATATTATATTTCCCCGGCTCCCATTCGTCACCGAAAGTTACATATTTATTGTATCCATTCTAGTTTTTCTCTGCAAATAAATACCGTATTTCGATTTAATCCGTGTTGCACACACATATGCGACTGGGTGGCTCACTAGATCACCATTAGACGACTTCGTCGCCCATCATGACAGTATTTGGGTTTGTATTTTTTGATCGCATGAACACTGCAGGAGTCATTTTCAGGGCTTTTGGTGGCGTGCACTGCTAAGCCGTTTTATATGGCACACATAACCTAGCCACAGTTATAACCTAAAGCTACCCCTTTGGGGGTGCTGGTCAAACGAAACGATTTTTTTGTTTCGCAAAGCAAGTCAAGCCAACCAATATGGTATTCATGATATCATTCACTGTCAGTGCTGGATTTAGGCATGTTAAGTAACCTGCAGCTTTGGGCCTGACAGTCTGAAGGGACCTCAACAAATTTATATTTTTTGGTGCGCAGATGCAATTTTCTTTTGGTAGAGAGGGTTGTATAATATAATTTTATTGATTTTGATGCCCGTCTCTCTAGCGTAGTTAGCTTAACCGGATTGTGCGGTGAGCGGGTGACGAACTCCTTGTGGTCCGGATTCACTCCCGGGGGTGGGCAGAAAAGCCACATTTCTCCCAGATTTACGGCATTTAAAATGGAATCAAGGCCGAAAGGTTGCAATATCCATAATACCGAGCCTAAGGGTTAACAACTCATGGCCTCTGGATACTAAAACAAGCAAACAAACAACAAACATTGATTTTGCTGACACTCTTGTGTAAAGGATACGCAACTAACTTTTTGTTTTGTTTTCTGTCTCAGCAGGGGCCGAGTCATCATGGACACGGATGATGACGACTACTTCCTGGAACCAGAGTATGGGTACGAAGATCTCACATTCCTGGAGGCCTGCATGGACGGGGACCTGGACGCCATCGCTGCCATAGTGGAGGACAATCCAACAGAGGAAGAGATCAATGAAAGAGACCGATGTGGACGGGTAAGGTGATCGAGCAGTTACTGTGACCGTATTGAGGGTTGCCTGCTAGGGATAACCAGTACTCTGTGTCTCTTCCTAGTTATCTCTCAGAGCCTACCTCTCCTCATCATCTTGAAGTTACTTTCCCACTTGTATCGATGTCTTCCCCTTCCTCGACTGCCTTAGTTTTCATTTTTGTCCTCGTATGAATTTTTTTCCCCTCGTAATGTACCAAGAAGAGGAAAAAGGCCGTCATTCTATATGATCTGATTAGAAAGGAAAACTGGCTCATTAAAAGCATCCTGGTCCCCAAGCTGAGCTAGTGTGGCCATGTTGAAGGTCGTGGTGACCTGAAGAGAACGGCGATGGATGTTATTTTCTGGAAAAGAAAGCTCAGGTGCACCAGCGCCAACGAGGATACTAGACATTTAAGATGGCTATGAAAGCATATAGAGCCCTAGAATTGGCTTGGGAAAGCGAGACTTCAAAGCTTGTCGTACGAGAGTGACGTTCTGTAAAGGATCTGCTGATTGATGATCCATGATGAAAATCGTCTTTAACTCCTTCAGTGCCAAACAGTTCACCACAAATGTTTCGTGTTTTCAAACATAGCATGATGTTACTGTTGTCTTTTATAACAGATGCTTTCTATTGCAACCCTTTATATCTGAACTGTTAGGTTAACCATTTTTGTTCTACAGAGTGGCTATTGAATTACTTCTGATCAAAGTATGTATGCTAAGTATGCTAAGCCATTGTATATGGCGCAAACAACTTACCACAGTTATAACCTAAAGCTCGCCCTTTGGAGATACTGGCTGAATGTGACGATTTTTTTTTTTTCATTTGTATTTTAGCAAAGCAAGGGAACGAAACTGCTTTGTACCAATAGACTTAAATGTGGTCTAAATTATGTTACTTGTATGCTTTTTTTTTTTTAACATTTCTCTTTATTCAGACTTCACTGAACTTTTGAAAATTAGCTCAATGTCTCTTAAGTCAGTTCAACTTTTTTATTGCTTATTTATTTAATGGGAAGACAGGAACAAAAGAAACTATTTTTACTTTCTTTGTTGTGGCCTAGAGGCATATACAGAAACTCAGGCAAGCCTGAAAGTCTCTTTTTCTCCAGCTGATTCTCCAGCCTTGTGTGCTTTCGTAGTCAACACATCTTTAACTCTTTCACTACCAAGGAACTCACTTTGCGTGAATTCGTTACACTATTTATGGTGCGCATTTCTTTACTTTCCATATCCTATTCTTTGTCTTAGGCTAACTCTTTATGTTCAGATTATTTTAACCCCTTCTATCCCAAAATCCTATATGTCACCTCTGTAAGATTAAGCAGTCTCTAGAATACAACAACTCTAGCATAGACACTGTTGAATTTAAAATAATCTGGGACTGAACGAGTTATTGTCTCGTACCCACCATCGCAGAGGAAGAGGAGAAGACGAGGAAATGGAAAAAGAAAAAGGCATATAAATAAAAGAGCGGGAGCCCAGAGAGTCAGGAGAAAATGTGTCTGGGATTAAAGCAAATTAGAGGTGGGACAGGCATGCTCAATGCTCTGCAGCTTCTGAATTGAGTGCATGGCGTGACACTGTGAGCTACGTGTATTTTTCGTTGGCACAGGAGCGGAGCAACTATAGGGTGACCCGTTCGCTATGAAGCTGAAACTAGGATTACCAGATTACCAGATTACCAGAGCGGCAGGCATCGCTTCAGATGTCCCAAATAGTTAGCGTCCTCCACTTGTTTTTCTCCAAGCTATGCTGGTGTGCTGGGAAACGAGCAGGCAAACTAGATTGGTCATTTCAGCACTACTCGGTGGTGAAATGATATATGACAAGCTAGATATTGTGAGGACCCTTTGGGATCGAATGAACAGTATGGAGGCACACAAAGATCATTATGTCTTGGGAGAATAGCACTGCGGGGAGTTACGATCTGACTGACGCTCAACACTCAAGGGAAAGGTGAGACGGATAAACAGACAGTCAGTTATTGGTACCATCGGAACTGAAACTCTTCGCTTCCTGCTGAAAATGGGGATGGAGCACTTATGGGAGTGTCATAAGCGCTATGATGTCGATTCTTAATTCAGCGTTAAACATCCTCCATGGAAATAATCCCCCCGCCCCCAGCCCAAACTCTTGGGATTTATTAGGTACATGGCGCTAGCCAAAGGTTTATATTGACCAAATGTCACTTGACGACCAAGATAATCACTGTAGTCACCCTCCATGTCCACCAAACAGACGGGACTGTCTCACCTGTGCTCCACTGGACTGGCGCCAGCCCTGGAATTGTTGACTGACCTGCCCGAACTGGATGTCAACCTGCCTGACAAGGAGGGCAACACGCCATTGATCCTGGCAGCTCAAGCAGGTGAGTGGCAGATGTTGACAGCAGTGTTTTCTTACATCCTCGTGTGGTTTTCTGGGCTCAATTTTTAGGGGAAAAGGAATGAACATACTGCCCTTGTGAGGGCCTTTCGGGAGCGAGTGAATAGTGCAGAGTTACAGATAGATCATTACAGTCTGAGGAGAATGGCACTGCGAGAAGTTACAAGAGAATCTTTACGACGCTCGACATTCTGGGAAAAGGCGAGACAGATATACAATCAGACAGTTACTCTTACTATCGGAATTTTAACTCTTTGCTTGCTGCTGAAGATGGGGGCTGAGCGCTTATGGGGGTGTCCCGAGTGCTGTGATGCAACATTCAACATTCTTCACTCCAGCGTGTGTGAGTTCACATATCGAAGCACATTTATGCAGATGTTTTTTTTTTCTACGTTAACTTAGAATTTGTGAGTGGGTGCCAGGTGCAGTCGTGTGGGGAGTAAAGGCGGCCGGCGTGATGCTGACCACATCACCCACCAAGGGCCGACTGGTCTATAAAATACAGGTCTAGACATATACGCCTAATACGTCTGAACCCTTGGGAAAGGGATCTTAACTTCACATTCACTTTGAATTTCTGTCCGCTGGTACCGTCAATAGTCACAAATGTTTTTCACAAATTGTCACATGAAATATCAATTACACTGTTAATCGCCGAATATGAACAAGAGATACTGGTTAAGTTCTTACATATATAATTATTAAAGAGATAATGTATTGATTGGCACCCATAGAAGAAGCAGAAAGACAGAAGTACACACTAGACAACATAACAATCGAAAGGCACAGTTACAGTGTGCGCCTTGCTGTGGAAACAAGCGTTCTAAGAACATAGTTAAGTAAACAGCACCAAAAAAATTTGTCCACATTGGCATGTCTATCGTACAGTTTGAAATCCACATCTATGGAATACGGACAGAATTCATTTCAAACCACTGAAACGGCACCATAGGTTACATAACTTTATATTAACAAAGAATAACAAATACAGCAACAATCTGCAAGCACAGCGGACCGTAATGCTTTGTCTAGAATAACACAAGCAAGTAAGAAAGAGATTCGATCGGTAGGTTCCATTGTGTTGTACGTCATTCACATAAATAAACAGAGGGGCCACCCTTGATACCCTATGAATATTATAGATATATTATTAATAAAGAGATAATGCATTGATCGGCACCAATAGAAAGAAGCCTAAATACAGAAGGACACACTAGACAACACACACATCGAAAGCCACCGTTACCTTGCCGGTATGTGGGTAAATTCTTTCGCTTTGATAATACCCGAAATATTTTACAATAATAAACTACTTTGACGTGTGTTTTAACGATTCAGTGATACAGAAGAATTTTAGTTAAAGTAGGGCGCAAGAGCTACGAACCAAGCATTGTTCAAAACAACTCCAATCAGCTCCGCATAAATTTTATAGACGAACGTTCACATGTCTTCACGGTTGGCTGGTGACTGTAGTCAAAGTTTTTACTGACCAGTAGTGGATTATCAGAGATATAGTTTAGCGCGACCTCCACTTGACCTGTTAAATAATGCATGTTTGGGTCAGGTTGACTGAAAATAGTAGTACTTTAGGATGGCCCTATTTTTTGAGAAAAGAAATAGACCACCCACACCCACACTTGCCCCCCCCCCCTCCACACTTGCCCTCACCCCCTCCACCCACACTTGCTCCCTATCCACACTTGCCCCCACCCACACTTGCTCCCACCACCTCACCCCCACACTTGCCCCGACCCCCATCAACACTTGCCCCCCCCCCCCCCACCCACACTTGACACCCCACCAACACTTGCCCCCTACCCACACTTACCCCCCTCCCATCTACACTTGCCCTCCACCCACACTTGCCCCACCTCCTCCACCCACGCTTGCCCCCCCCCTGCCTACACTTGCCCCCACACCCCTACCTATACTTGCCCCCCCCCCCCCCCCGCACTCAGACTTTTACCACACCTACACTTGCCACAACCTCCTTATCCACACTTGTACCCCCCAACCATACTTGCCCTCACCCCTTCCACCCACACTTGTCCCCCACCCACACTTACCCCCCCCCCGCTACGCTTGCCCCCACGCCCACACACACTTGCTCCCACCCCACCCACACTTGTTCCCCCCCCCCTACACTTATACTTGCCCCCACCCCTTTCACCCACACTTGCCCCCCACACCGACTTGCCCCCCACATACAATTGCCTCCACCCCAAACGTACACTTCCCCGAACCCCTCTATTCTCACTTGCATCCACTTGCGCCCCCCTACCCCCCACCCACACTTGCCCCCCCCCCCCCCGCCAACCACACTTGCCAACCCCCGCCCCTCCACCACACTTGCCAACCTCCACGCACACTTGCCCCCCTCCCCCCACCCACACTTGCCCCCCCCCCCCACCCACACTCACACACACATACACACATACACACATAAACACGTACAGACAGACAGACAGACAGACAGACAGACAGACAGACAGACAGACAGACAGACAGACAGACAGACAGACAGACAGACAGACAGACAGACAGACAGACAGACAGACAGACAGACAGACAGACAGACAGACAGACAGACAGACAGACAGACAGACAGACAGAGACGAATATACCAACACATATAAACAAACAGAAGCGCGCGCACAGACATACAAACAGAATAAGATAAAATTAGAGAGATCATCACCACCATCCTCATCGTTATTATCATCTTCATCATCATCATCATCTACTTCATTGTTTATGTTCTCACAGGACACACTGACGCTGTCAGAATTATGCTGCAATATTTCAAAGGGATACGAATCGACCAGCCAAACAGACTGGGGATGACCGCTCTCATGAAGGCGGCGATACAGGGTCGCTCAGACTGCTCCAGGTTGCTTCTCTACGCAGGTTTGTATTCTTCTTCTTCTTTTTCTTTTTTTTCTTCTTTTTCTTCATCTTCCTCTTCTTTCTTCTTCTTCTTCTTCTTCTTCTTCTTCTTCTTCTTCTTCTTCTTCTTCTTCTTCTTCTTCTTCTTCTTCTTCTTCTTCTTCTTCTTCTTCTTCTTCTTCTTCTTCTTCTTCTTCTTCTTCTTCTTCTTCTTTCAGATCTGCTTTGTATGTGTGCAGATGTAGGTTCATTGTCTGTCAGACAGATACACTCTGACTTGAATAGAAACACTTTTAATTGTTCACCTCCTAGGACAGACATGTTGGTGTCGTTGGGGCGTAGGAGGGGTGATCGTGGGGGTGGTCTATCATTTGTTTTCTAAAATGAATCCCCAAAATACACATAAGGATTGCGAAATTTTCACTTTGTTCGATACAGACACACGCGCAGTAATACACATGTGCGCGCGCACACACATACACACAATCATATACATAAACATACATACTCGCGCGCACACACACATACACAGTCATACACATAAAAATACATACACACACAGGGTGAAATATACAAAGCTAAAACAATTAGGAAAAGCATAATGTAGCTTAAGCGTGAGGAACTCGGTTCGTAAATAGGAGGTACTCGGTTCAATTCCAGCTTCAGGCCATTTTGCAGCAGATTTTGACAATAGCATCGAAAGCCGACAGCTCACTGGGCACTGACAGACTTAGATTAGTTGCGTATCCTCAACAGGACGTTGCAGAACCAACCCCAACAGACCAGGCTGTTGTGTGCTTTTTCTAAGCAAATTTACGTCCAGTAGTTTGCCATTGCTTTCTGGACGGTCGGCTTTCTTGATACCACTGTCGAAACGGGCGCAAGGTGCATGGCCCACAGCTGGGATCGAACCCGGCATTCCGGCATTAGGAAGCGTTCGCATCGACTTAGCCACAGACTATTGAATGTAAATTTGCCCAGGAAAACCAAACTGTCAAGAACGGCTGCGGCTGGTTCTACAAAGTCCTCTAGAGCAGCGTTTCTCAAACTTTTGCACCGCGGAACCCAGGTCAGGCACACATACAAATTTGCGGCACAGTTTGAATACTCAGGGGGAAAAACAGTGCAAATTTAATGTTCAGTTGTCATTAATGCGAGAAATGAAACTGTTTTGACGAATTTTTCATTATTTCGTTTATGTTTATGGGAAGTTTAGTTAACTAACCCCTCAGATCACTTGAAGGTTGCTCCTGACTTTTTTTTTTTTTTTTTTTATGTAAGCTACGTTGAGAGTGCACTGCAGCTTTGACGATAGTATTGTTTTCTGAATACACCTGCATCCAGAACTTTTCTTGGCTTTCTTCATTGTATTTCTGTTTGAAAATGTTGTCTTCGCTGATCTCGAGCAGATTTTGAATAATTTTTGATTATTTCTGCCGCACCCCTGGCATAGGCTCGCGGCACCCCTGGCATAGGCTCGCGGCACCCCTGGCATATGCTCGCGGCACCCCTGGCATAGGCTCGCGGCACCCCTGTCATAGGCTCGCGGCACCCCTGGCATAGGCTCGCGGCACCCCTGGCATAGGCTCGCGGCACCCCTGGCATAGGCTCGCGGCACCCCTGGCATAGGCTCGCGGCACCCCTGGCATAGGCTCGCGGCACCCCTGGCATAGGCTCGCGGCACCCCTGGCATAGGCTCGCGGCACCCCTGGCATAGGCTCGCGGCACCCCTGGCATAGGCTCGCGGCACCCCTGGCATAGGCTCGCGGCACCCCTGGATAGGCTCGCGGCACCCCTGGCATATGCTCGCGGCACACCTGGCATAGGCTCGCGGCACCCCTGGCATAGGCTCGCGGCACCCCTGGCATAGGCTTGCGGCACCCATGGCATAGGCTCGCGGCACCCCTGGCATATGCTCGCGGCACCCCTGGCATAGGCTCGCGGCACCCCTGGCAGCCAGTTTGAGAACCAGTGCTCCAGAGGAGAGGCAATACAGTTTTTAGTTACTTTAAAAAAAATTAAGTCCTAACCTGCACAGCCTGTGGCGTCAGCTAACGAACCTAAATACTCAATCTAAAAAGACCCAAATGGTTATAGCACACATGTGCATTTAAAAGTTGGACTACACAAAAGTTGTGAAAAGACAAATATATTAAAAACATTAATTACAGATCAAGCAGATGTGACACTAGAGAAAATGAAGTAAAAGTAAAAGATCAATTTACTTATTCAAGTAGTAGTTTTTGTAATCAATGAAATACTCATAAAGAAATGTTGACATTCATTGGCAAGGCATCAACACCTTTTAGAAGCCTGAACCAAACACGAAACACTGAATTGTATAGTTTTACAACCGCCATACGTATTTTCAATACATAAGTACTTTCAGCTTTGACAAATGTCATTAAAAGTTAAAGAACCGCTAATGACATGGAGCGAAAGTTAAAAACATTAGAAACCAGAAGCCTGAAAAAGCTGATAAACATAATATGGAATGCATTCAAGAGGGGTACAGAAATAAGCAAAATATCTGGGCAGCCTTTATAAACAAAGAAGATGGCGCTCTACAGCATACATCCTGTAAAGAAACGAGCAGAGAAACACGAATAGTCAATACAATTGTAAAATCAAGGGATTGATTGAGCGTCAACAAGAAACCCTAAACCGAACTTTGACGATAGAGGCCAAAAGTGCTGGGCAGGGTTACCCTAATCGAAGGGGTTGAATGGGACAGAACGAAATGGAGGAATGAACTATGAGTTAAATTTAGCATATAATGACACAATATGACAATGATGAAAATTCTGAAAGAACCTAATTCGGGAGGAGGTAATTTGCCACAGCCTGTGATGTACATATGAGAAACTTTCCACCTGCCCAGCTTCTTTAGTTCACAAATAGGCATGTCTAAACCTAAATGGCCCGAAAAGCGACGCTAGCGGTAGCTTTGATGATCTTGGGGCATCGAACCTGCAACAGGAGCAACTGCAGTCTGGTGGCTAGAAAGCGTACATGTCTCTCCATTTGTCAGAAGTAAAATTCTCGCTGGGGCGGATTTGAATAATTGAAATGGGCTCCCAGAAAAAGTCTTGGTATTAGGAAGGGTGTTCTTGACAGCAGGATCATGAGCCTGAACATAAGGGGCCATTTGGCTGGTGCAGTCGTCACGGACTGTGCAGGTTAGAATTGTATTTGTGTACCCAACAGAAAAAAAAAACATGAATCACCTTACTTGGGATCGAACTCAGGTCTCTAGCATGAAAGCCTGACGTTGTAAACACTGAGCAACGGCTCCTCCCAATAACCTGAAATATCAGGGACAGCCAAGTCGAATGAGGTCATTTTAGCCATATCAGCCATCAAGAAACTTCTATCTAGTCAATCCACCAAAGAACATCTAGTCAAGCCACCAAGGAACATCTAGTCAATCCACCACGGAACATCTAGTCAAGCCACCAAGGATCATCTATTCAATCCACCACGGAACATCTAGTCAAGCCACCAAGGAACATCTAGTCAAGCCACCAAGGAACATCTAGTCAAGCCACCAAAGAACATCTTGTCAAGCCAAAACGGAACATCTAGTCAATCCACCACTGATCGTCGAAATGATGGGATCACATTCAGAAATTACAGGTCCCAATCGGAGGAGGTGGGGGAGGGCAAAGATCCACTACTATCCTGTAGCTCGTGGAAATAATTGGAGAAAACAATCGCTGCTTTGGAACGAAAATGCTACAGAAAATTTCACAGAATACAATGTACCAAGAAGATGAAAGACACCGATAGCCTGTGCGAGCTGAGCACTGAGGAAACTTTGCCCATAAAGAGCATCCCATCCCGGAACCTGAGATATGTTGGCTATGTTAAACGTCAAAAAGTGGCTTGTTTAAAAATTGCTTGCTTACCTACCTGGAGTCAGTTACTGTGGCTTTGGCATTGCGAACTTGCTTTATAATGCCGGGGTGTTGGTTTCGACTGTGGTACCGACAGCTGACCGTTCAGTAGCAATGGCAAAGTATTGAAAGTCAAATTTGCCTTTAAAAAACCACAACAGCCAAAAGGTGCTGAGGTTTGTTCTACAACGTCATGTAAAAGATACGCGCTAATGAACCTACCTGGAACAGGTTGGGAGATAGAGCTCAGACTCGGAAACACGAAAATCCTGCCAATTTCCTACTAGGGGCGCCATGACCTTATAAAAAAAATATAAGAGAAATGACATTGGGAACTGCAGGCTCGGGGATCACAAGACAGAAAACCAGTGCAACAAAATTAGCTTTCTAATGACGTTCAATGTACCATAAATATTCAATACGACCGCCCTCACCATGGCAACGAATTACACATTGCCATCTAATTATGCCTTTAATTTCACCCAGATAGAAGACACGAGTTTTTTTCCCCCTCTCTCTTTCTGTTGCATTGAGGATGAATCTCTACAGTCAGTTATGACAGGCGTGTTTATGTGGGGTTTTCTTCTTCTTTTTACTACAGAGTAAGGTTGACTCTTGAGAAAAATAATGTGTTCCTTTGGGCATGAAAAAAAATGAGCATCACATGCTAGTGTGAATCAGATTCAAATGGGGACCAAATGAAAATAAACATCACATAAAACTGGGAAAAAAAATGAAAATGGAAACTAAATAATATTTAAAATTTATTAGTCATTCGAAATATTACCCTCATAGTACATCGGAAAAATCCATAAGCTCTCGGTTCCCATCTTCAGTATATCCCCCAGCGTGTGGCGACTGATAGCACCAGTTGTGTGTTGGTTTACTATTCTTCTTTGGCTTCCTTTATAGTGTTTATGTTTGGCGACATCTCTTTTGACCTGAAATTCGTGTAGTCTTTAGAGTGTAGCCTATTTAACGGTGTCTCCTGAATCATCTTCTCATCCTGCCTCCTTGAGAGTATTAAGAACGTCGGTCCGGTCCATTGATTTTCATGTACCAACCGTGGCCCGGCTAGCAAGCCAGTCATCTCGTTCATTCCCTTTTACCCCAGACAAGATTTCT